AGCACTTGATTCCTGGAACACTTACCAGATCACAAGACGAGTCCTCTCTCTAAGGGCCACAGGCTTAAGACATGGTGCAGTATTGTCAAAACCAAGCAATTCTTATGAATAAATCAATTAGTTTTATGCGATTGCTTCAGGCAGATCCTCCTCCTCGTGACTTTGGGGAAACAACAACAACAAAGTAGTGACCAGGGTCAGTTGTTAGATCTACTGTCTTTTGGCTTTGGATGGTCTCCATTAGCATAATATATTTTACAGGTACCTTAACATATTTAAACTTTTTTTAAAGCTTTGAAACTACTTTTAGAAAATTGAAAGTTTCAATTGCACTGATTCCTAAAGCGAAAGAATTAAATGCTTTATTAAAATACAAACCTATCCTGAAATTTTTATAAATTTAATTTAGCAAAAGGAATGCAAAACTCAGTTCTTACACATTTGCTGACAAAAGCTCAAAACCAAAGTTGCAGTAGGTTTGTTAGGCCAGAATGCGTTTAATGACTGAAGCCATAAGCGAACAAGATACAGCTGTAGCACAGCTACAGAGCTTTCAAGTTTTCGATTATGGTGAGCCGATACAATCAAGACAATTGAGAAGACATACTAATATAAAGAAACTGCCGGCATACTGATTTATGCATTTCAAATTCTCCATCCTCTCGCAGAGCAGCGCCTTTCTGTAAGAGGTTATAGCAGAAGATGGACTCTTGTAATCTAGATACTCAACACTGAGGATAAGCAGACTACAAACAAAAGGTGATCATCTGCTACCGTAGGTAAAGCTACTCCTGTAGTAACAACTTTCCCCTCAAAAACAAGAGAAGCGATGAGCTCAACCTCACACGCTGAACCTCCCACGTCCTGTTTCTACCCCAGACGCTGCACAGAATAGCAGTTGTCTAAATGGGACTCCTACTTATACAAGCTGTCCGCATCCACAGGAACAGGATTTGGACCCCAGTTCAATGTTCAGCAGTTGCCCAATGAGAATCGTATTGATCACCAAGAAGAAAGCCCCCAAAAGCCCTGAAACAAATCCGCTATAGCTAAGGGTTCAAGTGGAAGACCAGAAACAATCGGACTATGAAAGCAAAAGGCTGTATTTTTTAAATGTTTCCTACTACATACAAGAACAAATGCAGGATGTGATGTTTGCTTAGTTTTATTAATTTATTTTTGCAGGAATCTGCAACTCGGAGTATGCACTTTCTGGAGGTACCATGCATGCATAGCCTCTGAATGCTTTTATACAATTTCATCTCTTAGTAATAAGTTCATTCACAGCATACACAAATCTAGAATGTAGACACCATATATACAGGATTAAACAAGATCGTGTCTTCTTTTTTAATGAAAAAATTTAACAGGGTTTCACACAGCAGGAAATATGGATTAGATACACTGGTGCCACCATAAATAAATAAGTTTCAAGAACACAGTTTTTTAAAATCGGTTTCAAAGGTACTGAAAATCCAGGATTATAATATTGCATTAACTCCATCGATTTCTGATCATTCAAAACCAAGAAAAATATTCGCATTAATATTTATGGACATAAACAGCAATGAAAGCCCCAAACTGAAGAAATCTGGCAAAATTCAGTCACGGCTAGCTTCATATAATATTGACATTTTGAAACGAAACAAATGCAGCAGCACATAGAGACAGTACTGACTATGAGATGTGATATCTGTGCATGTCTTCTTTCTCTATGGGATTTAGAGTCACTGTAGTACAGAGCACGTAAATTCTGTGGTACCAAACAAGCTGATGAATTGTTTATGTCCAAATGTCCACTTCTCGTCAGGATAGTCATTTTCACATTCTAGGGTATACCACTGAATTTTAAAACAGAAACTATCATCCTGATGACAAGCTTGTTCTTAATATATTTAATATTCTCACATTCTTTTTTAAAACATTCTTTATTGTTTTTATTTTGTTTTGTCCCCATTTCAACTCAAGTATTTTGATTTCAGTTTCAAGGGGGTTTACAATCAATATTAAATGTAAAAGTATTTAGAAATTGAAATGAGAGATGTATAACTGGGACAGATAAAGTAACCGAAAGAAAGTTTTTCTTTTTTAAAAAAAAAAAAAGTTATTTAGTAGCATATCATAACCAGAAAGTACTGAGACCAGCTCTTTTAAGAATTATAACACCTTTTCACCACACCTCCCATTTTTCAAGGGAAACACACACATACCACAGACACACAGATACACAATTCAATCTAAGACTACATTTTACGAAGTACTTCCTTTTGCTTCACTTCCCCACCCCTTTCCTCTTCACCCAAACAAGACTAATAATTACATCAAATTAAAAGTAGATCCATAGTTCAGGATTTCTTTTGGTTTACTATGATCTGAATCATTTTCCGCAAGCCCCACTCTAAATAAACTTTTAAGGAACTACAGTAGTATTCTATAATTAAAGGGAATTCATCTTAATAGCACAGTAAATACAAAATAAGCTTTATAAAATTTCAGTGAACAGTGAAATAATTTTGAATATCTGAATGTCCAAGTCAGTTACAAACTCTACCACTCTAGTAGCACGGTTGAGGGAAAGCTCAGTCATTAAGGAGAAAAAAGAAAACACAAGTAGTGCATTAACTCAACACAAGGGCATCAGCATCCCACCATTCACACACACGCACGTTTTATACAATACAGTGCATTTTGTATGCCAGCTGACATTAGGGTTTTACGTGCATTCAATAAATATTACATAAACCAATCTTTTTGGCATAATCTACAATTCAGTTGGGGTGTGAACAGCGTCACCTGCTTTCAGAAGGAAAATGAATCTTCCAATATTCAAAATACAATTTACAGTCTAACAAACTAAAAATATTCAAGCACCATGTAAAGTCTTCACCATTAATGTTTGAGTATGGGCATTTACAAGTAAAAGAATACATCAGAAGGTTATTTTTTTTTTTTTGTACAAGCAACAAATGAGAGTAATTGAAAAACTGCAGTGAAATTATCGGTAGGAATTAATTTGCAATTTAACAGCACTCAGTCTTCGAAAAAGTCTCTTGCTGTCATGGCAGCCTTCCTTCTCTTCCTCTGGTGAAGCTACGACTAAGATTAGCAAGTTTCCATTTATAGTCATTACAGTTCAGGGAATTATTGGACCGCATATTCTGTCTGAAAATGGCACAACTGTATTGATGCATGACACACCTACTCTCATTTGCTGACTGTCATTTCAGTTGCTATCATTTTGTAATTCCAGCAAAAACAAATCCTTCTAGAACTTCAACAGAAGTACAAATGAACAGAAAATTGAAATAATACAAAGGCAAAGGCATCACAATAGAAAAGTCATGAAGTTACTGGTATTGTTTTGAGTAATTCATTATATAGCTGATAACAGCAATGGTACTGCTTATCCTAGATATAATGCTTCTGCTCCTCTGTTTTCTAGTTATCTCAGTTTTGTCAGACTGTCCACTTACATGAACAAAATTAATATTTCCCTTCTAACTTCATTTGACAGTAATTTTTTTACCCCTTTCCACATGTGATGAGCTCCCCACACAGTAATATAAAAAGGGAGGGGAACGGAGGGGAAGGGAGAGGACCTAGATCTGATGCCTTTGACTTTGTTTTCCTCATCAGTGGTGCACACTGATTGCTGGAGATCTCTTAGCTTATTTAAAATTATGCTGAAGATTTAATTAGTGCAAGAACATATTGAAAAATGCCAGACAAAATATTGGTTCCTCATCTAAGATCACAGTTTCTTTTTTACTGTTATCTTTGTAAACTGCAGGGCGAGAAGACACCAGATTGAGCAACGCAGTCAAGATGAGTTTTCCTCCACCCACCCCTTACAAACGCTGCTTGATTTTAAATAAGGATTCAGACACATGATTGTTCTACCACAGCTTAACATGTTATCACACATCAAGTGAATTGTGGTAATTGACCATATGGATGTGGCTGCTGTGAGCTAAGAACAGTTTAAAATGAAGTAGTTTAAATCTCTTCTAGTAAGGTTTAGCTAGCACATTTTGCCTCACAGTTGCAAAGTCTATTACCATAACTCAGCTGACGTGCTTGGTTGTGTCTCTGAATCTTGACAAAGTTATACCATAAAAACTCAAATGCACTGTACCAGCTTTTGACCAGTACACATCCTACTCAGTCGCACAGTTGTGTAACACAATCATTCAGCTGCCCAAACCCAAGTTCGGTTTCACAAGTATTGAGTGCTTTATTACAGCAACCTGAAGCATTCAAACAAATTGAACATCACCTTTATAATACAGTGTATCATATGCATAAAAGTACCAGTATGATTTTCAGTTGTAAGTCTTGTATTCTTCAACCTATGGCAAATATTTCCTGACCAAAATAAAAAGAATGCAGTGTGAAATTTTTCAGGATCTGGCATCTGCTATTTTATACAGGCTGGTTTATTAACAATGTGCAAATAAACCTTTATTGAAGAGCTAATTGAATAATTATCTTTCAGCTAACTTTGAACTGGGGCACAAAGTACCTTCTGTGCTGTAAACATCATGAATTCTTCACAAATTGGAAGTTGAAAAGGCCTAAGGAACTGGGTACAAACTCTTCTCATACACAACCACGGCTGAGCTCAAGTCTTCAAAACAGAATTTGGAGTAGTCTGTGTTTGGCATATGTCACTGTGCTGCTACAGAGCACAGGCTTAGAAGATTGTTGTATATAAAAGCATACTTTTAGCTTTGAAACAGGACAGCCTAATGAAAGCATGCAGCAGTATTTTCATCTGTAATATGGTAGAATTCATTCTTAGTTTATTACCAGTGTTGACACAGCCAGGTGAGCACTGTACAAGCAAAAGGGATTGTAAAAAATTACCTCTGATTAAACTCTCTGTAACACTCATACAGTATCTCATTTAGTCACCTTAGGTTACTATTTCAAACAGCAATTTTTTGTAGACATAAGTTACCCTGAAAAAAAGCAGCAATTACAAATACCCTTCTCCTTGGTTTTTTATACATTGCAAAATTTATCGTTGCATTTACCTGTCTCCTTTTTCAGTAGCTTACAATCTAGAAGCACAGGGAGCCTTTGTTTTCCAGCTAGCTGTGGCCAGGTTAAGTCAGCTCTGGCTCTTCAGGTTTTCTGGTTAAGTGTAACATTTCACACCATTACTAAGAGTCCTATAATTTTTTTTTAAAAAAAACCAAAACAAAACAGTATATTTTTTTTTTAGAGCCACTAAGCAGTAACTATAACCACAGGACTAAACACCAGTAGTTATTTGCTTTCCTGTATACATTCTTCCCAAAATTAATCCTTTTACATTTTCAGGTTTCATTTTCTGCTTTGCTCACTGCAATGGGATAAGAATTTCACCCTTAATTTATTTATTTTTAGTGTAGCACAAGCAGAAACATCTTAACACATTACTCCCACCCCTTGCAATATGAAGATTGTTGACTGGCAAAGGCCGGGCAGATGGACTGAAAGGTTCCCCATGTTTCCTTCTCCTACAGCTGTCAGCTTGAGAGCCTGTTTTCAACCCAATGCAGCCCCTTCCTGATTTTCAGGTATATCGTGGCATTTCACACTGCTCACAGCGATTTAGTGCTGGGTGATTTAGAAAGGTGCAGCTATCACAATTCCATGGAGCCCCTTCAAAGTCTTCATCTCTTGGCTGAGTCCGTGTAGTCTGTTTGGAGCTGTTTTGATGCTCTAAAAAAAGCCAAAGGAAAACATTTTTACTTATTTCAGAAGAGAAGCATGATAGGCAAGATCATACTGCTGGTTTGTCACTTCATTAAACGTTCTATCTTAAAATGAACGTGGAAACCTTTCCACTTAAGTAACATTAAAGGTCTTTTGCTAAAGCACTTCTAATTCAGTTTGTGAAATCTGAATATTGGAAGTATTTAACTTCTGTAAAGAGTCACTTAACCATACTACATCAAAAACAAAAAGAGCAGTCACCACTCTTAGGTCACTGATACTGCTAAAGGTTTAATAGCTTAAAACGTACTGAAAAGTTTGTTACTGGCACTGCAACACCATCCTGTTAAGGAATGACTTCATAGGTTTACATACAGCAGTCTATTACCAAATTCTAAATTCCAATAACCCTACTTTACCTGAAGTGAAAGACTTCTTCTAACTTAGTTCCTTCAAACAGTCTGACAGATTAATATATTTTCTGCATCTTTTTCTAGCACTTATCCAGGCTGAAGAAAATACAATATAAAAATAAAACGGTAGGCCTGGTTCAAAACAAGATGATTGTTTTTCTTCCTCATGGCTTCGCAGCAGGGATCTGTGTACGTGAAGCAGCACTTAAGTCTGTTTTCATTTATAAAATCAGTATGTATGCAAATCATACATCAGGTATCATCTCACAGAAAGACTCGCTTTTCTGGTGTCTCCTACCACCACATCAAGACCTCAGGTTATCTACTAAAAGTGACAAATACTCCCAGGATGTGGAAACACAACATTTTACAAACTGTTAATATTTGAAACAACATTAGCACACACACCTAGAAGGTAAGGTTAAGATACCCATCTGCTAAACAAACATCTGCAGAACAGCTTAATTGAAAGAGAACATACATTGTAAAAAAGGACTGCAATTTGTAATTCAAAGTGCACACATTGCTGTCATCTGCTAAGAAATCTAGCAGATGGCCGATGACAAAATTAGTGCAAATAGTGCTTATGTTTGTCTTCACAGACATACTTAAAGAAAATAAAAGTAACCTCCTTGCTTAGATATAAGCCCTCTCCAGTCCAGAAGTTGTGTAGTCACATTAACAGTGCTTGGCCTCAACAAATTCCTTCTAAGCAAGCAAGTAGTGTGGGCACTAGACTGCGTGCATGTTGACTAGCCAGGTGGCAGCACAGAGCAGACCCTTGTCTGCCCATGCCGGTCTGTCTGGCCATGCCTTCAACAGGTGAATATTAAGGAAATGGAATTTTTTAAGGAAAAAAAAAAATCATTTTGATGACTCCGTGTTAACAGCTAAGCTCAGAATACAGTACACCAGCCCTAGAACTGATTTCTAGTAAGTTGACAGACAAAACGGGGAAACTAGTCATAAAACTCATACAAATCCTTACAAGACACTGTCTTTCCAATTGCCAAATAAAATCACTTATTTCACACAAGTTTTGCACATTATTTTGCTTTGAAATAATAAATCAAATAGGCTAGTGTAATTAAGAGAATCTCTTCAAACATTATGAAGTAGCAGTGCCTTAAATCAACCGCATGACCGTGGCAATTTAACATGAATCCAGGCAGCTGCCTTCATGCCACTGCTCACCTGCTGCTACTGTCTTTCCTGGATACTACCACCTATGCAGGGAACACATCCCAGTATTGGGGTTTTTTTTGAACCACAAGCAGTAGTTCTGGGCCTTCTCTTTCCTTTAAATTTCCACATACTAAGTGTTTCATTGTATCGAAGGGTAAAATACTTCCTTCAAAATGGGGTAAAATTTCCTTATATGAATTCAAAGTTCAACTGCAAAAACCTTTTTGAAGTGCTTATCAGCAACTAGAACTTAATTACAAAATCTGGATTTTCAAGTAGACTATATGATTATTGATTCACAGGAGTGACTTTTCCACTAATAATTTTAGTACATGCTAGTTACAGTAAGAGGAGACACAATATTATAAATCTTATCACACATAACACTTTCAGGGAAAAGACCGCTGTTTTCTCTATATCAGAGCACAGGATCCTAGACTGGCTATTTCAGCAGAAAGATACAAAGTGTTTAAAAACTTTCACTAGCATCTGAAACCATTCTTTTAACAGATTTCAGGAAGAAAAAAAAAAAAGTCCAAAACCACCTGAGACAAATGGTAGGATTCTGCTCCCAAATCACCACTGAACGTAGTGGAGTTGAGAGAGCTACTGGGCTACACGGCCACTAGGTGTCTACTAACGGTGAGCTGAGTCACTGGGATGTACTGCCTGAGTCTCCACTGGGCAAAAAGCGAGACTAAAGACATAGCTCCTGTGCTAACACAAAACTTAAGTGTCCCCAGCTGGGTATGAATCCTAGATACTATGCAATTAGCATAGAATATTTTAGAAACCAGTAATGAATCTGTGCAAGTGGGACACTGTTATCTCTTTAGACTGATGTGAGGAGACTTGTTCTGTCTTGATCCTTAAAATGTCTGAAGCTCTTGCTGTGCTGAAACTTCAGGGCTACTGTGAAATTCATACTCTGCACAAAAAATAGGTAAAGTGTGACCAGTCAAGTTAAAACATAATTAAAAATATAAATGCAAATTTTAAAAAGCTGCTGTGACCAACTAAACTTGCCTAGAAGAACCCAACTAAACTATAAAATCCTAACAATACATATTATAAGACGGCTAAACAAACCTGACAGAGCTTTTGACCTAGAAGTATTTTAAAAAAGCATCATTAGGAAGCTCAAGTTAACACATAAAAGTTTGTGTATTTACAAACAACATATTAACAGAACATTAATTTGCAACAACCTATCTGAGGAAAACAAGTTGTAGCCAGGATTGCTGCACTTACATAAAAATGTTCTGTTTTGGTTTATATACAGAGAAAAGTTATAATAATTAGACTTGCTTCCTGTCATCACAGGGGTTTTTCAAAAAAGGAGGGGGGGGAACCTTTCTCAATGCAGATTAGGTAACTTGACACTTGTTTTTTAACCTACCCTTTTTATATGGCTTTGGTGGCACAACAGGACCAGGCTCTATGTTATCATAGAAGTTACACGTGGCTTTCGGATCAAAGTTCCCTGTCAGAAAAGAAAAGTAAGAAAGCATAACTCCAAGGTTATTTACGTACCTATGCTAGTGATATGAACATCTAGAGGCTTCAGATTTTATACATCTTTTTATTATGACATTATATATTAGCTTTTTCCTGAGTAGTCTTTTGTCACATATTTTGTTTTGTATTGATTCTAGTCATTTTTAGCAGGCTAATCCCATATTGAAGAATCAACTCCAGCTCAATGTTCTGTATTGCTTTAAAAATATGTGAAAACGTAAATCTTTCTGTAGGACACATTCTTAGTAAAAAAGGAAGACTATGCATATTCTAAGCTATTTGACTGTATTTATGTCAAGTTTCTGTTGCAGAAAGAGGATTTTTAAAGACCTAAGTAGATTTCTGTTTGCCAACCTCTTGGTTGCAACCTGTACTTCTGTTTTGTATTACTTGGTCAGAGCCTTTGTCAGCAAAAAGTTAAAAACTTAAGTAAAGAACCTTCACTAAGGAGTATTTTTTTTTTTTTTTTTAAGTTTGCTCTTGACAAAGTCACTTTTAAGTCACCACTTTCTTGGTAATGTAATTTAGCTTGGCCAACAGAAATATTAGCAAGTCAAGTTTATCAGGTTGCAACTGAAAAAGACAGCTTTTAGAGATAAGTTGATATTGATAATCAAAATTAAACTTTAAAGAGTCCAAGTATCCACATTTAAGCATATACTATATTAAAGTCATAGAATCATTTAAGTTGGAAAAGACCCTTGAGATCACCAAGTCCAACCATAAACCTGACACTGCCAAGTCCACCATTAAAACATGTCCCTAAGCACTACATGTCTTCTAAATACTTCCAGGGATGGAGACTCAACCACTTCCCTGGGCAGCCTGTTCCAGAGACTGACTACCCTTTCAGTGAAGAAGGTTTTCCTAATATCCAACCTAAACTTCCCCTGGCACAGCTTGAGGCCATTTCCTCTTCTATCGCTTGTTACTTGGGAGAAGAGACCGACCCCAATCTCGCTACAACCTCCTTTCAGGTAGTTGTAAAGAGCAATAAGGTCTTCCCTCAGCCTCCTTTTCTCCAGGCTAAACAACCCCAGCTCCCTCAGCCACTCCTCATAAGACTTGTGCTCCAGACCCTTCACCAGCTTTGCTGCCCTTCTTTGGACACACTCCAGCACCTCGATGTCCTTCTTGTAGTGAGGGGCCCAAAACTGAACACAGGATTTGAGGTGTGGCCTCATCAGTGCCGAGTACAGGAGGACAATCACTTCTCTAGTCCCACTGGTCACACTATTTCTGATGTAAGGCAGGATGCTATTGGTCTTCTTCTCTTTCCCAAGCCTGTAGCGTTGCATGGGGTTGTTGTGACCCAAATGCAGGACCCGGCACTAAGCCTTGTTGAACCTCATACAGTTGGTCTTGGCCCATCGGTCCAGACTGTCCAGATCCCTCTGTAGGGCCTTCCTACCCTCAAGCAGATCAACACTCCTGCCCAACTTGGTGTCATCTGCAACACTCCCGCCCGTATTTAAATTATGTTTTTAAAATCTATCAATTCTATACCTCTAGATTGAAGGAGATCAACTTCTTTCAGTGTACAGTCAACATTTATCTGGAGCTGTCTGTTGAGGCTTCTCAATCTGGTCATTTCCTCAGGCTAGAAAGAAACAACCCAAAATAGTAATTGTGGGATAGTCAATATCTGATCTGACATAGAAATAACATTGCTATAACTCTGTTAACAGCTTTATTAGAAACTGAGTGGTTTTATAGATAAGCCAGTGAAAAAAGTAGCCAAGATTCCACTGTCTGTCCCATCTCCCCTACCCAATTTATTCCCTTAAAAAACACTCTTCTACTGGCATTTGAGGAAGAAAACAAACCAAACCAACAAAAATGAACAAGTTACTTAATATTAAAATTCATGAATAAGACGACATAGCTCAGCTCAAGTTTATAAAACCATACACCTTATAAAATTCTGTATAAATTGATGACTTTCTACATGAGTTTACATCAAGATGATCAGGAAACAGAATACGAGCTGCAATTCACATTATTACTTGATTATAACCAAATAAGGTCAGAAGTTTATTAGCATCACCCCAAGGAGGTCCAGCATGCCAAACCTTCTAGCCCAGTATATTTAAATCATCAATGTTGCAAGACAGTAATTATTCTTAACAGAATAATCAGTTATTTGAGTCCATATATTTGCATATCATTAAGAAACCCTAAATTACTGGAATACAAACCGTTCTTAATGCTAGCAGCAGTGACTATTAACATGTATGTAGGAATAACTATCCTATCCTAGGATACATTCCAGCATCAGAGTGTCACAAAATCACAGAATGTTTGAGGTTGGAAGGGACCTCTGGAGGTCATCTGGCCAAGCCCCTCTGCCCAGACAGCAGACAGCTTTTGAATATCTCCAAGGATGAAGACTCCACAACTGCTTGGGGCAACCTGTGCCAGCGCTCAGTCAACCACACAGTAAAAAAGTGGTTCCTGATGTTCAGAGGGACCCTCCTGTGTTTCAGTTTGTGCCCATCGCCTCTGGTCCTGTCTCTGGGCACCAGTGGAAAGAGCCTGGCTTCATCCTCTTTGCACCCTCCCTTCAAGTATTTATATACATTGATAAGATCCTCCCTGAGCCTTTTTTGCAGGCTGAACCGTTCTAGCTCTCTCAGCCTTTCCTCATAGGAGAGATGTTCCAATCCCTTAATCACGTTTGTGGCCCTTCACTGGACTCTCCAGTGTGAGCCCACTCCTGGACACCATACTTCAAGTGTGGCCTCACCAGTGCTGAATAAAGGGGAAGGGTAACCTTTCTCCCTTTGCTGGCAACACTGCTAATGCAGCCTAGGATATCATTAGCCTTCTTTGCCACATTGCTGGCTCATATTCAGCTTGGTCTCCACCAGGACCACCAGGGCCTTTTCTGCAAAACTGCTTTCCAGCTGGTTGGCCCCCAGCTTATACTGGTGCATGGGGTTGTTCCTCCCCAAGGGCAGGACTTAGTACTTCCCCTTGCTGAATGGCATGAGGTTCCTGCTAGCCCATTTCTCTAGCAAAAATTGTTGAGGTCCCTCTGAATAGCAGCACAGCTCTCCTAGTTTTGTGTCATCAGCAAACCTGCGAAGGGTACACTCTGCCCCATCACCCAGATCATTAAGGAAGATGTTAAATAGGATTAGACCCAGTATTGACCCCTGTGGTACACCGCTAGTTACTAGCCTCCAACCTGACTTTGTGCCACTGATTACCACACTCTTGGACTGGCTGTTCAGCCAGTTTTCAATCTATCTTACTGTCTGCTTATCCAGTCCATGCTTCATCAGCTTCTCTATGAAGATCTCACTGGAGGAAATGTTGAAAGTGTTACTGAAGTCTCCGTAGACAATAACCACTGCTCTCCCTCATCTACCAGGCCAGTCTTTTCATCGTAGAACTTTATCAAATTGGTCAAGCTTTACTTCCCCTTGGTGAATCCATGCTGATTACTGCTGATCACTTTCTTGTCCTTCACGTGCCTGGAAATGGTCTCCAGGATTAACTGCTTCATCGCTTTCCCAGGGATCAAGGTGAGGCTGACCAGCTTGTTGTCCCTTCTTGAAGACAGGAGTGACATTTGTGCTCCTGTAGTCTTTGGGCATTTCCCCCAAACACCATAATCAATCAAAGATTATCTAGCATGGCCTCGCAATGACATCTGCCAGCTCCCTCACCACTCGTGGGTGCATCCCATCCAGGACCACGAACTCACATATGTCCACTTTGCTTAAGTATTCCCCAACCTGATCCTCTTAGACCTCAGGGAAAAGTGTGGAGCAAGGAAGGTATATGAGGTATGTGGGACTTGGGATTCCTGAACGCCTGTAAAGACTGAGGCAAACAAAGTATTCAGTATCTCAGCCTTTTCCATGTCCTATGTGACCAGGTCTCACTGAGCCATGGGCCCACATTTTCGCTAGCCTCCCTTTTGTCACCTCTGTACTAATAGAAGCCCTTCTTTTTGTCTTTGACATCCCGTGACAGATTCAACTCCAGTTGGGCTTCGGCTTTCCTAACCTCATCCTTGCACATTCAGACAGTGTCTCTGTATTCCTCCCAGGAACACACCTGCCAAATGCTGCCCTGAGACAGGTACGACATACAGCAGCCATACTAGTTAAGCAGCTAACAGCCCCTACTATGCCCTCCAGTCTACATCTGTGTGCAGCTTACTGTGAGTAAGTCTGAACTGATTTGGCTAACAACTGCACAAATTGGAAGTTATTTTGCAGTCAGATTAATTCTCTTATCAGAGCCATACAGATGTTTGGGCTAGAGTCACTTGCAAGTGGCAGTCACACAGATAGGAAGAATCAATGAGGAAAAGAGGAGAGAGAAATGCCAATTATTTGAGCCAACACCACCACTGAAAAGTTACTTGGCACATCCTCCACATACCAAATGGGAAACAGATTGTCTAGGAGATGTAACTACTCAAATAACAAAATACCACAATATAACAAAATACCTTTTAAAAAAACATGAAACTTTGCTGCATGAACACCAAGCTGTATATGGCTTGGGCTCTTTATATAGACTTGGACATACACTTTTATAGGTTGTTAGGAAAGTAACTATCTGTTCAGTTCTGTGGTCCAGAAAAGCATATGTATACAAGTTTCAGAAATTCTGTTGTGAACAATAAGGAAGGTGGACACATACCTGTTCCTTTACAAGAACTTAACAAGAATTAAAAGAACTGCCTTACGACAAGCCAAGAACTTACAAAAAATGATCTCCAAAGACTGAAGATTTTATACCTCAAAGTATTTTTTGTATAATGCTTTAGTTTATGAACACACAAAAAAGAAATTTGTATCTTGAATTAAAATACTAACAAATTGCTTACTGTTGGAATTGCAGTTGTACAGCTAACTCTTCGAAGCCGCCTCTGCATTAGATCATGCTCCATACCGTTGACTTCGGCTTTCAGGCGTTCGAGCTCGTCTTTCTCAAGCTTCAGTTCCTTTGCTAATCTCTCCATCCTTGCTCGTTGATGTAACAGCAAGGCTAATGTTTTACATGGAAGAAATAGTTACTAACACACAAAACCCTGGAAAACTAAATTCTTAACTTATGCATAAGATTCATGAGTGACCTTTCTGGAAAAAAAAAAAGTGATCATAAACATGCAGCCAAATATCAGTGTGAAGATGCTTTCATGCCAAATGAACTACAATTTAGAACAAAGTTCTTCCAGAATAAAAACACATTTTAGACAGTAACTTGAAGTTGATATTACCATTTTGGTCAAAGCTTCTTTTTTTGCATTTGGTCTTTCTCGTCTCAAAAATACAAAGGCACCTGTACAAGGAGACAGCTTCTCAGGATGAAACAGCAACCTAGTTATATTAATATTGTACTGACAAAAAAAAATAAATACCAGAGGTAAGATCAGAAGGTAAAACACACTTCATATCTGCTGCTCAATAGCAGCTGACACACTAGCCTTGAGACATTAGCCAAATGTCAGTCCTGAACTGTTTTTTTTCACTCCTATTACAGATTATGCTATAATAACTTTAAGTAGCTCTAAGCTTTTCAGAGAGTACTGTAATTCTCAGCACTAAGTTCCCCAGTGCTCAAAGGCAAAACTATAGAACAGACTAGAGAATCCAGAACAAAAAAAAGTGGGGACAGCTCAAGTGCTTCGGAGTCTTTAATTCTACTATAGAGCTGATTCGCTGTCCTCTAACTGCTCCGCTGTTACTCCTTCTCTCATATTTTTGTCATGGTACTGAAATTTATGACTCTCAGTCACAAGCTGATGTTGGGCTCCCAGAGCAGCCAAAGAAAGAATTCTCACTAGCTAGAAAATCATATTCAGTTTCTGCAGGAAGAGTGCTTCTCAATATTTCATCATGATGCAAAAGTGACCAAGTTAATTAGTGTGATGCTTAGCACTTTCTGATCTGGCTGTTTTTACCTGATTAAAGTCTACTAGGACAGAGAACTATTAGATAAATTTGCTGTGGGTATTCAGACAAGCACACTGCTCATATAACAATGTTCCAGCAACCTGTTCAAATGTATGAAGACATTGCAGAATCCGCAAAATGCTATTTCATACAAAGCACCAGCCAGCACCTGCCCTTTTCTTCACCCCTATCCAACACCGGCAAAGAAAACACACATAATATCTCAAGAATATCTGAATACTAACTAAAAAAAAAAGTTAGAAAAATATGTAACAATATGACACTTACTTGGGGGGGGATTAAAAAAAACAGTCAGGAGCCTAAGAATGACAGTGTTTTTTATCAGATGTCAGTATTCTGTGCAAAAAAGTAGCACTACGCTTTGGATTTTGTATGGATCCACCAATTCATGGCCACAGAATAAACACTGAAAATCCTATCCAAGAATAACATCAGATGTTTTTATAATACAGGCACTAGTATTACTGAACTCTTTTCTACTTTTTGAAGTAGCAGAAGTCATCCAAGTAGAGTTTAAGAGATCGCAAAAAAAAAAAAAAAAAAGAAAAAAGTACAGATACCAGGCTCTATGATTTTCCACTATTACTATCAAACCCTGTCTTTGTATGACTCCTCCAAATTAACATCTGATATGACTACATTACATAGCTTCGCATTATACTCCAGTATAACTCATCAAACATGACTCATGCTACAAAGAAACAGTGGAAGTACTGACACCAGAATGCATTTTTGGTGACACTTTACATAGTGGTTCATATTCAAAAGAACATTAAATAAACTTGTTCCCTATATTAAGCTGTTAAATAGACTCTTCTTTAGGACTCCTTTGTGGTAGTAAAGAATATAACGTTTATTATTCTACAACTTATTTCTATCAAGAGTTCAGAGTGCAGCAATACCAAAGGCTATAATAAAGTCCCAGCCATGGCAGGTATTGCCACAAGAGCAGATGCCCCCAAAAGCATATACTAACTATTTTTATTGTTTTTTTCCAAATACACAAATCTAATCAAAGACACAAAGGCAAAACCAGATTTCTACATTTCAGAATGTGTTTTTCTCAGGTATGTGAAACTACTTATAGTTTTTTCACATAACTGACAATCTTTAATGAAGCTGTAATAGGAACACTACCAAACAAAGCATATGGCCTAGGAGTTACAGACCTACTAGCATTCGTTCTTCTAAATAAGATTTCTAATTGGGTCTACCAGGTACAGAACAGCTCTTTGTTGATGAGTTAGAATAACTCAAAAGACACAAAGCAAAATAAGAAATCAAGAACTACAGGGCAGCACTATAACCAATATTTCAGCTCTCTAAAGTGAAAGGAAGGCTAGAAGGAGCAATGGAGGAATAGACACTCTTTTCCAAACACAAACCCAGAAACAAAGCACGTTCATTAAATAATTGCTGTGGTTATCATTCTGTCACTACCCCAAATGACTGGTTGGAATGCTTGCAGACTGATTCATTTGCTCAATTTTAAATGTTTCAAATCTATAAGTAGATTACTCTGAAAAAAGCAGTTTTCAGCTAAAGGTTAGATTTCTTTTTTTTTTTTTTTTTTTTAACTAAATTACTTAATTCTTCATTTATACATACCTTTAAGACTAACTATGTTCTATCCCTATGCAGCAGAACACACATCCTAAAATTTGTCTGCCAATCTCTTCATTCTCTTTGAAAACTCCAAGTGGAAGAAGTGAACTTTTAATTAAGTTCTTCAAAATAATTATTTTAATACCTTTCAAAACAAAAATGATTTGTATTGACACTCAAAGTAATTCTAGCTGCAATCCTACCTCTCTCCCCTCTTTCACTTAATACTCTTCAATCTAAACCAAATAAATTGCATTCAAATTCCCTACAGAAGTTAATGCTTCTGGTTTTATAAAGCACCCGAGTACAGAACAAACACACACAAAAAATCCACATGTAAATTTATGACACAGTTCTTCAGCGCAGAATTTACAAAACAGGCACACGGTAAATGAACCACTTACTCTTTAGTTGCAGTGTTTTCTTTTAAGAAATTCACCTAACATCAAAAGCATAGCAACTTTAAGAACCTCAGAAATTCTTTATGTATTAGACTGAAATTTGACAAAATTTTTTAAAAATCAGAACAAACTCTCTCAGATGTTTGGTGCAATTTCTATTCTTCTCTGTACAGGTTCAAAAATTCTCAGTAAGTAGCAAAATCAAGCTGGAAATGCATTTTACAATAATACAATTTGCAGGATGAAACATTTACCTTGAGTGTAAGCATAGTCATCTGATCCAGAACTAGAACTTCTCTGATACTTATGGCTTCCTTTTTCTCCTCCAGATCCTGGGATTACAGAAATAGGCTGAATAGGTTCTGGTGCTGCAGAATGCTCTTCTTGGTCCACTAAATTTAAAAGATTCTCAGTCGGTGCTCGACCTACTGTGATTTTAAAAATGGTTGGGTTTGGCTGAGATACCATTACCCGAGGAGACTGTGTTGGTGCACCCGTAGGTCCAGTTGGTTGAGTGTAGGTAATATATACTGGATTAACACTAAATGGAGGTTTGGGTTGACCCGACATACCTCTTGATGGAGAGCTTGAAGGAGGAGTAGTGGCTGCATACAGTGGGTGCTGGTTTCGTTGAGATGGTTGATTACTTATTGGTGAAGGACTTCGGTTCAATGCAGTCCCAGGTCTTTGTGGTGGCTCAACTGTAATTTCTATTTTATTCATGGAACCTTTGGATAAACTAGGTCCAGCAAAAGGAGGAAGATACGATACAGAGTGACCGCCTTGTTTTTGAAAAGTCTGGGATGCTTGCTGATATGGATGGGGTGGGACAGTTGAAGGACTAGGAGGCATGAAAACATGTGAACTCTGATGACTCAGCTGAGGAGGCTGAACTTGGTGTTGAGGAGAGCCAAAGGGAGAGGGACACTGGGATGCCGGTGGTGATCGAAAAGCTGACTGAGGGATCTGGGGTTGTTTAGGAGAATACTGAGAAGGTTGGTAGTTCTGTTGATGTGGATACACAGGTAGAGGACGGGGAGTATAATGTGGAACTGGGCCCTGTGGCGATGAATGCCACTGTGTATTCTGAGGAGTCTGTCGTCCTGAAGAACTTTGAGATGTTTGCCTTATATAAATAGAGCCAGGAGTCCCATAAAGATTGCTTGGAATCTGTGGAAGAATTTGTAGAGCTCTGGGTACACTCTGTCCAGAGGGGAGGTTTTGTGATACTGTAACAGTAATGGGATTTGTACTGTACCGAGGTATGTGCATATACGTGGGAGGGGGGCCTTGCATAGCAGACGTGTTCATTCCTGGTTGTATGGAAGATGGCTGTGGAGGTGGCTGTGGAGGAGGAGTAGCTGCATTTCTATTCTGGTCATTCATGAAAAATGGATTGTAACTAGGAGAAGCTGCCACAACAGCGGGAGCAGAATGTGGTTCTTGAACTAAGCATATCAGCTGTTTACCTGCTGTGCGTTGTGGATCAATATGTCCATCGCTTGAACTGTGTACCAGTGTACGACCACCATTAAGTTGAGCTCCATCCCCTGCATGATAGCTGGTATGAGGATGAATACCCAGATTAATGTGCAAAAGGCTATTTCTATTCATTCGGGTGTCATCAGGGCTATGGTACTCCATATATAAGTATTTGTTGCTCTCCTGTGCGAGGGCTCGACAACAGGCATCTAGGTTGTTGTTGTTCTAGGAGTAAGAATGGACACCTATTATTGTCAAATAGCAAAAGAAAAAGCCACTGCTCAGCGTTCAACAAGCATTCAACTGAGCTGCAGTTCAAGCCTAGCTTGAACATAACTAGGGGTAAGACTTCACAGACATGAATTTTGAAATAAAGCTAATACCTACCAGGTCATAGTATGCATGTAGTACATAGCATTTTGCTAGGTGCAATGTGAGCTATGGTAACACTAGCTACAGTATGACCTATTAAATAAATCAAGTCCAGTTTTGGGGAAAGCAATGGTTAGAACTCTTGGCATCTTCTGCAAGGAACAGGTATGTACAATTAACTACTTCTAATAACAACACAAATAAAATTAAACTAGGTCAAAATTGCAAACTCTGGAAAGTTGAAACAAAAATGCAGATGACATTTTAATGTCTACCTGAGCGTTTACTGTTTTCACCTTTATTTCGCTGTTTACCTGAGTATTTCTCTTTACCTGAAAGTTCAAGAGCCCAACATTTTAAACCAGCTTCTCTTGGTAGAACAGAATTTAGCGCCTTAAAAATGAAGTCAGAAAAAGTACTGGTAATTCCATAAAGCACCTTACAATTCTGACATAATTTCAACTGCCTTTAAGAATTTCAGGCTCAAGGCTAAAAAAAAGTTTATTCATACATCAGTGAGGAAACCAAATAACCCCTGTAAATGTTTGATTTGTTCTGTGGTACCAGCAGCTGAAACTATACAGACAATAAATTATGACTCAAAAGTATAATGGGGAATTCCCTTTCCCTTCTTCCCCCCTCCACTCATTTTAGCTTAATCTGGCCTTGTAAGAAGAATGACATGAATGATAGCTTTTCCAAAAGAGTAAAATCACTAGAAAGCATTCCAGATGGTGATTTTTTTCTCCCCAGTTTCTCATACAACAGCCTGTATCAGCTGTGGTTCAGTTTTTAATTTAAAGAGTAGTTAAAGAAAAAAAATTCACTTTAAGTTAAGTTCAACTATATCTGGTCCTCAGCACCTAACTTTGTTACATGTGATCCAAGACTAGTACCTTCTGTGACATACAGCACCTCCCACCAGAACAAGTGTGTACATATTTATATATACACACATACACCCCCACCTTCCTTAGTGTGTTAAGATTACCATTCTAAGGAATATACATTAATAATGGTTTCACTTTATTTTAAACACTATCACTACCTAAAGCTTGTATACATATTTGCCTTGGTTTCAGCTGGGATAGAATTAATTTTCTTCCTAGTAGCTGGTATAGTGCTGTGTTTTGGATTTAGTACAAGAATAATGTTGATAACACACTTATATTTTAGTTGTTGCTAAGTAGTGCTTACACTAATAAAGGACTTTTCAGCTTCCCATGCTCTGCCAGGTGCACAAGAAGCTGGGAGGGGGCACAGCCAGGGGGGCTGACCCAGACTGGCCACAGGGCTATTCCATACCATATGGCGTCATGCTCAGTATACAAGCTGCGGGGAGTTGGCCTGGGGGCAGTGACCACTGCTTGGAGACTGGCTGGGCAACGGTTGGCAGGTGGTGAGCAATTGCATCATTCATCACTTACTTTGTGTAGTAGTATTATTACTGTTTTACTTTATTTCAATTATTAAACTGTTCTTATCTCAACCCATGAGTTTTCTCACTTTTACTCTTCCAATTCTCTTCCCCATCCCACCCAGGGGGAGTGAGTGAGCGGCTGCGTGGTGCTTAGTTATGGGCTAGGGTTAAACCACAACGATATTAATACTCATTTGGCCTTGCAATACAATTTTCTACAGCCTATCCAGTTGGTTGAAAAGTCATAGTTACATTTCTTTTCTGAAGGACTGATACCTAGTCAGTCTTAATACTAAAATGAAGATAACTTTCCCAAAATTTCATATGATTTCACTATCAGACAAACACACATATTCAGCATCCTCTCAGATGAAGATTTACTACTGAACATGACAGAAGACAGAGGAGTCCAGCACTTAATGTATGGCTCTCACTCTATGGATACTTCTGACTACTTCCCCTTCATGCCAAGCTCCCCTTCTAGACCCCAACGGTCAATGGGAATATCCAGACGTATTACAGAAAAAATTAAAACCAGAACACATGGGAACCAGACCTTGTAATAATAACCAGCGCCACAGTGCCAAGACAGCAGTCTCAAAAACGTTAACTGCTACCATCAGCCACTTGCCATCTAAACAGGACTTCATCAGGGTGGAGGTAGAGAGAATGTAGATAGGACAAGCCCTAATCTGACTTTCTCAGGGTATGGAATATATTTGTCATTTTAAAGGACCCTCAATTTTTAATAGGTCCAAAACTCACACTGGTTTAAATCTAGAGCATGTAATGCAATAGGTTAATGGAAACCAGCTCGTGTATCTTAAAACAAACATAAAGTGTGTTTGGAAACAAACTCTATACTTAAAAAAATTACAGATATTTGCAATGTAATGTTAACTAGCTATCCAGAACACCGTATTATAGATATAGAACACCATATGCTTCTGCAGCATTAGGGGTCCTTTAAGTTTATCAGTTTAAAGATGTCTATGACTTAAACATAGTTCATCGAAAGGATCATGTACTTAACAGTAGAGAAGAGATGACTGTCAGGATAAGTAAAGCTTTATATTGCAGGGCTTCCCCCGCTTTACATTTGTCTGAAAGCAATTAATTTTTATTTGTATGGTTCAGAAGACACATAATGCAAAAATTGCAGCCATAGTTATAAGTAAACCTACTCTTCTGCCAGGGACAGGTAGGATGCAAATATGGCTTCGCTACTTTCATATGCAGCAGTTTATCGCATTAGGTTCCACCTTAGCCACGGCCACACAAGGGCAAACCAGATCTTACATGTTTCTATTCCACTCCTGAATCTTCTCATTAATGGAAGGTATTCCCAGATGAACACGACTCTGAAAAATGATTGTGTGTGGTCATTTATTATCACCTCCAATTTGTGATTTTGGATGAAGGTGGCAGGAAGAAATAGGAAAGAAAAAAAAAAAAAAAGGACTGCCACCTGATTTGGAAACAGAGAAGTAAAAATAAGCCTTTGGACAGCTGTGGCAAAAAGATGCTATGAAGACAGAAAACCTTTAGATTCCTAGCTAAAGCCAGTTCCTTATCTTGGAAGAACGAGTCATTGTTTGTTAAAATCTCCTCCAGTATATGTATGTTATTTATGTGGCCATCATCAATAATCATCCCATTAGCCACTTCCCTTATTCCCTGTATGCATACAGTCACAGGTCACATAGACAAGGAAGAATAGTCAGCGAAAAAAAACCCACTAATGTAAGTGAAGAATGATAAAATTTTTGTATATAAAAGACATGACAAAAATGCAAGTAATGGAGCCTTCCACCCTTTCAAAACAAAACCAGAAGAATGAAAATCTGTGCTCCATGCATACTACTAAAAAGAATTTTCATACTACAAAAGTAAAATACAGGCTCTTAAAAACTCTTTACCATACCTGAAGCATGCACTGAGATACCACCCCTTCAGGTATCTCAGGGAAACGTTGTCGGAGATCATGGAGTACCTGCACGTCGAGTTGTTGACTGCCCTGCGCCATGCCAGATTGATGATGTTCCAGATTACCAAAAAATGGAAGTCAACAGGCCTTCCAATGATTATGGTCTTCTGAGGCTTCTGGCATTTTCTGTAAGGAAGAAAACACAATTATCTTTTAAGCCATCACAACAACTTTTCCTCCTTCCCCAGCTGCATGTATAAAAGAATTACCATATTACATTTTTAGATCTAGATATCAAGAGAGACAATGGCTTAAACACAAGACTGGGAATCATCATGTCTCAAATTCTAATATTAAAACACTTAACATAATCACAGGTACATCTACACGACATTTCACTGTAATGTGCTAGTTCAGGTCTTTACACAGCCCCACTGTGGTACTATGTGGGCATAACTTAAATTAATCTGACCTGCATAAAACGGAACTGTTATATATTTACTCCCAGTGAAATCCTGAACAGTTTGTAGAAAAGTCTGAAGTTACCACAAAGCATGCATGTCTCTGTTATTTACAACATGCCAGAAATAACAGGCTGGAAAACTAAGTAGCACAATTATCCAAAAATACTCCTCTAGTACTAGGGCTTAAACTCTTTCCTCTTTACATCACTACAAATCCAAGAAGTTGGAAGCAATTTTTGTGAAACACAACAACAGTTAAACAGAAATTAAAGAGTACTTTTTAGGATTAGTGACAAAAAAACCCTCTATCCATTTCAGGATTCTTGTATTCAACAGCAAAAAGATTCTATCCAAACTTCAATACCCAAAGACTACTAGAAGGCAAATATAGTCTGAGACAACAAATGCTTTTCTCCCTTGTGGCTCATGATCACAGCAGTAATCAAATGGTAGCTGAAGTTAAGTAAAGATTCACAAAGACTTTGCGTGAAGGTGGTGCATGACATAGCCCCTGTAACACATCTATTATTGCTAAGTTTCAAAAGCCTTTCCAACATTACTACTCAGTTGAATTCTTAACTGCAGAGAATGTAGTCCTGTGTTCAAAAATGGAAATGAAAGTCAGATACCGACAGAGTTGGTGTTCATGTAGTATATTAGCTACTCAAAGTCCCAAGTTTAAATCATGTTGTCTCAACCTCAGTGCAATTGTGGGTGGCGCATAGTATAGGTATTCCAGTCAGCTTTCACTTGTTAGCTCAACTTCTAATAGCAGTCTAGAGCAGTACAACAGATCAGCACAAACATACACACACCTTTATGCACTAATAAACTCCAGCAGTTTCCTCTGTCTTTCCTAAGAAAGTCTCTTAGTTTTCATAGGCAAGAAAATAGAACATATATCTTCAAAGAAATATAAAATGTCAGCTTTAGGGTAAAAAAGCTTTGGTTTTTCTTTTTTTATTATTATTTTGCATATTTAATAACCACACTTTGCTTTTTTCACTTCTTTCTAAATAGCACTTCCTTTCTCTGAAAGAAGGCAAAACAACAACCACCACCACCACCAAAACAAAAACACAAGTGAAGTCCACTTCACTATCTGGCTACTTTGTATGTGGACAGCTCTTAACTGACATTAGCATTCATTAAATAACACATATACTTACAGGAAGGGCTGCTCTCTGTCATATCTGGTATATGCTAGTATCCAATATCTGTCACACTCCTTCTCAAGATAAACGAGACAAGTTTAAAGAACAGTGAGATATGTGAATTATCCTGCTGTGATTAAAGAAATACTACAATAAACTCACATTGTATAATCACAAGGCAGTTCTGTCCACTGCAGTAATGCTGCAGACCCCTTTTATTTTAAAAGGAAATGGGTTTCCACTGACAAGAGCCAGCTGAAACTTGGTATCTGCACCCACAGTAGGGGATCTTTTATAAAACTTATTTTTCATAAATAACAAACAAACATCATACTCTGAAAGACACCACCACAAGAATTCTCAAAGAAAACCTGGCAGCAATCAAGCTCTATGTGTTTCTAGACAACTCTCCTTTTCCCAGGAGGCGGGGGATGAAGCGCAGTAATGGAGGAGTACCCTACCAGAATAAATTGCAGTTCAAACCCCTGTAGAATAACAATGACAGTATCTGAAAATCTGAAATAGAAGACAATAATTTTAAGAATTTCATTTGCACGAGCAAAAGCCTTTGCATCACTTCTCTCTTCAAATGCAAATTCAAATGTAACATGGGTGAGCAGACTGGAGATCCATCATCGATACATACATGTTTTTCTACAACGCTTTTATAACAATCTAAATCAATGATTTCTTTGATGTTTTTCTAACACTTCCTGAATATGCGTGGCGAGTAGAGGTATAACACTCAAAGTAACTGGCAGTTATTGGCCAACTATTAATTTTATCAGAGAGTTCTCTTCTAAACACAAATTACGGATAACAGAAATTTCCATTCTCATTTTGAAGAGCTGAAGCTTCTAGCCTTTACAGTTACATAGATAGTCTTGAAAAGTCTACAAGAAACCCGAAATAACTGTCTTGAGAAGCATGAACACACAATCATTCAGAACTCCTTGGATTCCATGGCTACACTACTGTGGAAATTTGTTATTTTTCAGCCAATACCACAAAATTCGCTACTGCCATATCTAGGAGCCCAGCATTTTGTCCTACCTGTTGCCCAGCATTTTGTCCTGCCTGTTCTGCTTGACCTGCCTACAACTGCCTGCACATTTTCCACTCTAAGCAGGCACAAACTGGCTGGAATACAATACCTATTTCCCCTGTTGCTCCACAGCACCAGGCAGGTGGAGGAGCAAGTTGTTCAGAGAGCCAAGAGTTTACAGCGCAGACTACACGGCTAAGATGCTTAGACAACAAGAGCTCCTACTGAGCCACAGGAGACTAGGAAAGCAATCCCTCAAAGCTTCTTTCTTCCACAGCAAGCACAGGCTAAGGGACATGCCGAGGCGCACTACACTACCAGTCTTATAATTATTGAAAGTTCACAGAGCAGAACACATCAAAAACCAACACAAAGTCACAACGAAAGCAAGCCACTTCATCTGTAACTTTCAAAAATGAGTTGAGGATACCCAAACTCTAGTTGAAAAGTATTTCACGAGGATGGAATACATTAACGTTGCTACATAGACAGCAGCTCTAACGGCAAAAACAAAGGATATTGCTGCAGAATTGGTCCCACTGTGTTAACACACGGAGGTGACCTCAGGAGCCGCATGTGAATCTTGAGGATTGTGCAAAGCATGACTCAAGACCTAAACAAGTACACTAATCAGTTTTTCACACCTTTTACATGCCCACATTATATGTACAGGAAAGCAGTATCTTAAATTTAATATTCTTTCCTTAAGCCATTTGTGTACCTTGCAAGTTAAGAAAATAGTCAACAGTTCCATCAATCAACTGATGCCTCTTTTCTGAAAGAATGAAGAAAAAAGTAGAATTACTAGTCTTGATACTCCCCACAGATGTGTTCAAATATATACAGAAGTAAATCCATTTCACTACTGTTATTTCTGAAGCACTAAATCACCTAAAAGGAAGATACATGAATCCTCAGTAATGAGATCCAATTGAAAAATAAATTAGGTCAATACATACTATCTGGAAGCTTATAAATTATGTACTGGTGTGCACTTAGGCAATTACAATGTATGCAGCAACTAAAATAATTCCTGAGTGAACTTCCAGAAAACAGGTTACCTGGAAGACAAGTTTTCCAGGCCTCATCAATTTAAAGTTAATTGTTAAGATTTTTATAACAGTTGGGCCTTGAAGGATAAAAAGAAAAAAAACAACAAGACAAAACACAATACTAAACAAACCTGTTTATATTTGCTACTGGTACTTAGGCATAAAATTTCTGAGTAACACTGATATCAGTGCTACTTAGAACTTCATTCCTGTTCTCAGCCAAACAGAAGAGCAATAACAGTCTGAATACCCTCCCTGAACCGGAACTTTCCTGATTTCTCTGGTAGTGAATAGAGGGAGAACTGTGACAAGTGAGGACAGGAACTGAGGAAGAAGAAAAAGATACAAAATTCTAAAATTCAGTTTCATTAATCTAGATCAGTACAGAATTTTACTTTCACCAAAAATGGCAGGGTAAATAAAAACAAGATCATGTCCAAAATAAAAATGTTATGTTCTTTAAATGGAAGAACAATAATAAAAGCTTAACACTCATTTGTAATCACTTTACCAAAACATGCCACTTTGTTTTCAAAGCCATGCTAGACTAACTGGCTGCACAGCATGAGATCTGAATCTGCGTGACATTTTAAATCTTTTGTTCTAAATTTATTTATTTATTAAATGGAAAGAAGTTGCGAGCACATCTTATGAATCGTATTCCTTCTTGAGGTAATTTCAATCCATGGAATGTTTCTCTCAGTTTGGTCATGTTAGCTACGGATCTTGAAATTACTTTTTCGGTTTAATCACTGCATTTTTCCTACTTACTTATTTTGCTGAATTTGGTCTCAAGAATAAGTTATTCCATCTCTTTGAAAGAAATCTGCTCTAGTCTGAAAAGCCTTTTAGAAGAACACAGACCATTCATACTCGAAGCACAAAAAACCTAGCACTACTAGACTTGCTCTACAAGTAATATTACTAAAGCATACAGCAAACTTGGAGTACCCAGAGTGCTTAGGAAGTAAAAAAAGGTTTTATATAGACCACAAGTTTTTTTTACATATAATTGAAAAACAAATTAGTTGCTTACTAATAATATATATTAGGATGTTCATGTTTCATGACTACTTACTTCTAAATTCCTAAATTCAAGATGTCTTATAGCATGGAAATAATCCTACCAAAAAGTCATCCACGTACTGAACTACAGTGTTCTCCTTTACCAGGCACAGTGCATAACAGATTCTCCAAATAATCTATTATTTTCCCAACCATGAAAATTATTTCATTGTACTACTATAACACAAAGATTTAAACTGCATTTAAAAGATTAGCCTACTTACTAGAAGTATCTTTATTAAACCCTATGGCCCAAGAAAGATGGTAAAAATATTCCACTTCTCACAAAAGTAAAATATCACCTATTCCAGCTTCAGCA